AGTGTGTAAATCACACTCCACATTCACCAGGCTGTGTAAATTCCATCCACCTTACCAGGCTCTGTAAATCTCACTCCATCTTTACCAAAATGTGTAAATCAACTCCACCTTCACTATCTGAAATCTCAGGTGCTGCTTTTAKCAGATTCAAAAGCAGCACCTGTTTAAAGCATTAGAACGGATTCACCTGCAGTTGCTGAGACAGGCTGTCCTTAAGTGACTGATAAGGATGGTTATCTACAACTTAGCAGTTCAAATTTTTGTTGTGTTATTCAAAAGTTGTCTCRTGTACAAGTAGTCCCTGTAAAAACTCAAGTGATTTCTGATGAACTCTATCTGTTTTGCTGGGGAAGCACCCAGAATTCATTAAACACTGTACACATCTGAATGTAGATTTTAAACCCTTTTAAAAATGTTTTTCCTTAAAAATCTCTTAATCACAAGGATATCTTGTCACAGTACAGAAAAAATAACTTTGGAAGGACTACTGCTGCTCCTTTAGAAGTTCYTTTTCTCCATTGTTACTTAAAAGACAACCTGGGAGGAAAATAACACACCCAAAAATAGATAAACTCAAACTTGTCTTTTCCTAATATGGAAGTTTTTTGGACCTGGATTTGATGGTAGCTATTCATGTAGTTTATACTCTTAAATATTATTTTAAGAACCTCACAAATTTTTAGAAGAGGTTACAGTGATTCCCTCWGTAAGTGTGAGGTTTTGCTGTGTTCTGTTTGTATTTCACAGGTTCAGTAATTAGTAAMCCTCCAGAAGTTCACACAAGTAAATAAAAATTATGATATCCTGGGGCAGTTGGGACACTGTKCTTAACATACCAGAGTTCCATGTTTTATGGTAGCACTTCATGTTAATGATGTGGGATTAGAGAAAACTACTTCTAAAATACTTTAAAATTCACAGAGTGTTTATAAGAAAGATGCCTGGAAAACTCTTAATTCATGGAAATGCTTTTGAGTGCTCTTGGACGACTGAGAGCAAGAATCTAAACTATCAGACAGCAAACCCAGTTGTTTCCATGCTGCTGCCAAAACCTCCAGCTCTTCTTTGGCTTCATTTTCTCAGTTGTATTTATATCCAAATAAGCCATAGATAGAAGTTATGCAGATTCAATTACATTTCTGAAGAATTAAGAAACAAAGGTTATTAATCCTACATATTCAACTCAAATAGTCCATATTTAGCTTGGTGTATTACAGGAGTTGGGTTCTCACAGTTCCACACTTTTCATACTGGTTCCCAATTTCTCCAGTATCTCCTGATTCTCTTGGTGAATTTGCATCAGGGAGGTGGTACAAGTAAGTAATTAAGGTTCCTGAAAACAGGTGAGCAGGTRAGAGACCACTGATGGAAATCTGCATTTGTGTGTCCTTTAGAAAAAGCGATGTCCACTTCAATTGCTTTTCAATAATTTCTCTCAGAAAATGAATTCTCTTTTTATGAGGCTGTGAGCATGTACTTCCCAAAACAACATGGGGAAATCAGAATTTTCCGGTTTGAATTTACGGCATCAGTAAATGAAAAGTTGAGAATATCAGAACACAAAAATTACATCATTTGCTGTTTGCTGCTTGTCTCTCAATTTGGTAAATGGTAAGTATCAAACCAGAGGACTTCAAGCTGTAACTAAAAGTTATAAGGACATCAGCAAATTGAGCAGGGAAACACTTTGCTGTGTGCATTTGGTAAGTATTTAGGATATTGAGGAATTTGTTGCTGTTTTGTTGTTTGCCATGTTTTGYTTTTTAAATCCAACTGTAGTTCTCCCGTCTCTCCCAGCTTATGAAATTGTACTTAATGGCACTGTGCTTTCGAATTTGTCATAAAAATGTAATGAATCTGCTGATCAATAGCAAACTGTTGCGTTCTTGCAGTACAGCAGAAGTAATTTAATAGCTGAGGTTTACAAAGTCAATTCTCCTCTCAGTATAAATATCAATTATCTGCTACATTTAATGATTCTCTCTCCAGTTTCACAAACACTTGTGTGCTCAGCTTTGCATGGGAATAATCAGTGATTACAGAGGGACTTCTTGTGTGTCTGAACTGCAAGGCCTGGTGCTCCAAATGTTCATCCACAACTGTGGGGCATTTCTCAAGGTTTTTCTGTCCATTGGCTTGGGATATCACTTACCTTTCTTCTGTTTCAGGTTGCTGCCCTGGAGGCTCAGGGCTGCTCAGTTTTTTAGATTTTTTGATCATGATTCCCTCAGCCACTCCTGGTGCTTCAGCCCATTCTCCAGCTCTGTTCCCTTCCCTGGACATGCTCCGTGCCCTYCATGTCCTTCTTGTCCTGAGGGGCTCAGAACTGGACAGAGGATTGGAGRTGCCCCAGGRGTGCCCASTGCTTTGCCCTGGYACAGCCCAGGTGCCTTTTGCCCACYTGGGYATACCTGGGCTCATGTCCARCAGTTTCACTCTTCCGAGGCTGTAGCATTCCACAGGGTGGTGGTGGCTCAGAGTAGGACCCAACACTTTGCTTTGGTGATGTTCTGCTCCATAACATTCCGTGGCACTGAGGTCAGCCTGGGTGATGAGGGTAAATTCCCTCCCTGCTGGTAAATGATGGGAAGTGTCTGGGTGAGCCCTTTGCCCCTCCTTCAGCCTCCTGGGGTGGATCCCATCCAGCCCATGGAATCCTGTGTGTCCCAAGTGCCCTAGCAGGATGCCAACCCTTTACCCTTGGAAAAGGGGGGATTCATTCTGCTCCCTGTCTATGTCTTCCTTCTCAGGGCCTGGGCACCCTGAGGACAAGAAGGCCTTAATTCCCTCAGCCTTTTCCTCATCATTTGTTTCTCCCTGATCCAATAAAGACAAAGATTCTCCTTAGCAATCCTTTTGTTGCTGATGTATTTATAGAAACATCTTTAATTCTTTTTGTGGCAGTAGCCAGATAAGGTGCTGGTTGGAGAGAGGAGTTTTTGTTGGGGAGAGCAGGAATGCTGGGGTTGGTGATTTTTGGGAATCTTGGAGCGAGCCTGGAATCACTCAGATTGATTTGAACCTGTGGTGTGCTAAGCCCGATTTGTCATCTTCACTGCACTGCTTCAAACTACTGCAGAGTGGAATAATTTTTATTTTAGTTGCTGTAGAGCTTTTTTAATCTTTCTCAGAGGGAATTTATACAGGCTATGGGCAGAGTGACTTAAACCAGGTGCGATTTATAGAGGCACGGTTCGAACTGGCTCAGGAGCAGATCTTTATCAATCTGTGAAGGAAGCAGAGCAAAACTACACAGAGAAACTCCCCTATTYCGTGCACTCTCCACTTCCCTGCGCGCTGCTGCCCAAGCTGAAGCCAGGAGATGGCAGAATATCGAGGATTGATTAAGTGCAACCTGAGCCGGCAGCCGAAGGTGCCTGCGAGCAGCTCCCCTTTGTGCGAGCGCCGCTGCCTGACATCGGATCGTTCAATCCGACCTGCACGCCGAGCTCCTTGTGTTTGGCATTAAAATTTCATCCCGGTGGTTACGAGGCTTGTTTTCTGGGTCAGCCCTGAATCCCTTTTCATGTGAGCCGGCGGTGGCTGTGGTTACCTCACTCCCAATCAATGTTGTATTTTCACCAGCCTTTCTACGGTTACACGTCTCGAAGGATCCTCTCTGAAGGGATGATGTTCTCCCCCCCATGCTCGATTCAAATGGAGTTTCAGCCCTAAGTCTGAGYTTACTTAAAGCAATTATGTAGCTGCTTGCTTGGCTTTTAGAAATTCCTGCTGGTGATGAGGCTCACTGTGCCTGATGCTGTCATTTGTTTGGGGTCGGTACAGAATGCCTGCATTGCTTCACTTTCTCTGACTGAAACCTGAATTTATCTGGGGATTTTTTTATGCAAATGCATGTTCAGGCAGTAAAATTGCTACTTTTTTTGCTAGGGTTTTTTTTTTTTTTTTT